TGCCGGGCTCGGGCCGGCCCTGGCCGCCGGGCGCCTCCTCGAGCCTCGGCCGCGCGGCCTTCTGCGGGCTGGTCGAGCGCTCCCTCTGCTCCCCGAGGCGCTGCTTCTTCTGGCCGCCGGCCGAAAGCTCCTTTGGTTTCCTAACGTCGTGTTCCCTTTTGCTATCCCAAGCCGGGTCTGGGCTCATCTGGAGGGCAGGGTCGGAGGGGGGGACGGGATGCAATGGAGAGAATGGCGAGAGGACGTCCTCGGGCGAGACGCCTACTTCCGGCAGAGCTGGGCCGGCGGCGGCAGGGCTCCAGGCGCTGGGGTCGTCTGCGGGCGGGAAGCACAGCGTTAGGGGCCGCCCCGCGCAGGCTGTCGGTGCCCCCGCGACCCCTCTGCGTCGGGGACAAGAGCAGGGCGCCAGGGGCGACCGCTTTCCGGGTCCCCAGCCACCGCCACCCCCACCCCCACCCTCACTGCCGAGAGGGCAGCGGCCGCACCCCGGGGATTCTGGGGCCCCAGCCCTCTCTACTCCACCCCCTTCCCTGGTCGATAGAGCAGGGAGGTCATTGCAAAGCCCAGGCCTCATCCATCCCTGCGCTTTGGCCCCTGTAACTCCTGGGGTGTCATCAGGCCTGACAGTCCTGTGTGGTATCTGACTTGGCATGCATCTGAATCACCTGGGATAGTTCTGAAAAATACAGATTCCCTGGTGGCCAGACCCAGAGAGTCCGGTAGGATAGGGCCCAGGAATTTCTCTGCATTTTTAACCGTCACAGATGACTGTGAAGATGGTGCAAGAACCAAGCTTTGAGAAACTGGTCTGAGTCCTCTGGAAGAAGTTGGGAGAGTGAGTGACTTTCTCAACCATTAGATGTCACTCAAAGCACAATTCTTAGCTACCATCAGATACTCTGAGAATTTGGATAAATTCATCTAAAAACGTTCATTGTTGTCTTGTCTTTTAGAAAGCATTGTCCTTAATTCTTTTTAGTACTAACATTATAGAGGGCCTGGGACTAAGATATATGTTCTTTCTAGGAAGCCTAGTTTCAACATTTATTGTTAAATTTAAATTCAACGATTTAAAATCTCTCTACTTTCAGAAAGGATTTGAGACAATTTACAACAACAAAACACATACAAAATAGAATGATAAAAATGAGAAATGATTTTTTTTTTTTAAACCAACCACTGGTCAGAAGCCAAGTAGAAAGCAAACAGAGTCTTAGGAATCTGAGATGAGTTAGTTACTAGTATGAGCACTAACATTACCCTTGACTTTCTGGCCACTAAAACAAAATTGAAGCAGAGAAACTAATACAGTGAACCCTTGATATTTGTAAGGAATATGTTCCAAGACCTTTGGAAATCCTCAAATTTTAGAATACATTCTAGAGTGTAATTTTTCTCCGTAGACTTGGTATATGGTCATGAGCGGGGAACAAAAAAGCCACATTGAAATCTGGATGCTGAGTGGCAGGCAAGGCTCCCTCACTAGCTAAGAGATTCTGTCCCACACACCAGCCTCAATGCATGTGATCGAATTCCTGCCTCTATAACATCATGTGTGGGAGACTGTCAAAGCCCCTCGTGCATCCTCATGTCAAGAGTCTGCTTTGTTTAAAAGTTGAGGATTCATATCTGGTAACTTTGATACTGATAAGCAAGAAGGAGAGGAAGAGGGCAGTGGGGTTGATAGTTCCAATAATTCTGGCCACCTGTAGAATATCAAATCAGTTATAAAAAAGTTTCTCCTTTGATGTGAAATTTGAATGGAGTGTATAGGGCACATAGTTCTCTTCCTTCCTTCCATAGACCAATGTCCATTATCATTTTCACATAGTGAGTAAAAAATCCTAGAAAAGCATCAGATGACCTGGCATCTAATCCTGCCTCTGGCATTTACCAGAGATATGATTTTGGACCAACTACTTGGCCTCTCTGAGCCCCAATTTCTCCCTTTATAAGATGGGGATAAAATGTCTACCTCAAAGAGATGAGACGTGCACTTTCTAAGAGAAAAGCATCTTGCAATGGGAGGGTTATAACAATTTTTTGCACATAGTTGAGACAGATTTTTCTTCTGTGCCCCAGTGGCTGCTTACCTATGGACTGGGCTCCAGTGGAAACCTCATTAACCAGCATACTTGCAGGTGAGGTTTTGAATAAGTGAGTAAGTCAGCCATTCCTATATGCTGTGATTCCCAGGTGTGGTTGTGCTATACCTCAGAAATCCGTGGTTACCCCAAGAAATAGTCTGAAATCCTCAAATGCAAATGTATTCAATGAAAATTGGAGTATGTTCTACTTCTGGCTGAGTTAGAATTTTAAAATCAAATTAACAAATGATAGACAGTGGCAACTCCACAAATATAGGAAGATATTGCCTGAAAGAGTTGAAAGTGGTCTTTGAAAGGCCTAACTAGAGGGTAGTTGTGCAATGGTAATCTCTAGCTTGGACCATGGTAACGATATTTCACATTTTAATAGCTCTTTTCCCCACCATTACATCACATATGGTAAAGTCATTAGCTGCCCTTGAATTATTTCTGACATACAAGGAGGTTGATATTATTCACACCATTTCCTGAAGGAGGAATTGAAGCGAGAGAGGTTAAGTAACTTGATTATAAAATGGGTCAGCCAGGGGTAAAATGTTGGGTTTCTTTACTCTTTTTACTTACTGAGAAAATTTTCGTAAGATGTTGCCTTGCAAATAGGATCAAAGCATGTGAAACGGACATGCTCAGGGGCTGCTGCTGACCAACGGGAATTAGATCCCAGCATGGAACAGAATACTTAACATTTATTTCTGAACATCTTATTTATAATGATAAAGTAGAAGGTGAAATTACTCAAAATAAAAAAATATGAAAGAATTCCTCTTACTATAAAAAGATTTCTCAAGTGTTTGTTTATAGATCATTAAGTACTTAGTGGGAGAAACTAAAAGCTAAAATGTTCCAAGCCACTTTGTTTGTTGTTAGCGCTGTGGAGTTGATTCTGACTCCTAGTGGCCCTGTGGACAGCAGAGCAGAACCCTGCCCGGTCTTTTTGCGCCATCCTCTCTCCTTCCAACGCTATATCAGACAATGCTCCGCTGCTTTCACAGGGTTTTCATGGCCAACTTTTTTGGAAGTGGGTGGCCAGGTCCTTCTTCCTGTCTGTCTAGTCTGGAAGCTCTGCTGAAACCTATCCACCATGGGTGACCCTGCTGGTATCTGACATACTGGTGGCATAGCTTTCAGCATCACAGCAACACGCAGCTGCCACAGTATGACAACCGACAGATGGGTGGTGTGGTTCCCTGACCTGGAAATGAACCCTGGCCACAGCAGTGATAGCGCCAAATCTTGACCATTAGACCACTAGGGCTGGCTTCCAAGCCACTAATGATTAAGATTATTAGTCAGAAATTAAAATGGACTAGATCATAAAGTAAAATGATTTAAAAGATGGATATTTATAGATGTGGTTTAATAGTTTCCATTTTTCTGGACAAGAATTCTCCAGTTCAATACCAGACACATGATGTCTGCACCAGGCAGGAGCCTGCACAGCTCCGTAAAGCACCAAGGGCAGGCAGCAGGCAGCCCCTTCACCACCTTCACCTGCCGCATCAAGGTGACACAAACTGTGGTGGTCAGGAAGAGCCGCCCTTCTCTGACATTTCGAACTCTAGTTTTCATGAAATCTGGACACACAATAACCAGAAGAATGGACCACATTTAGTTCTGGTTCCTTCAAACCTTATTTCCTTTCCTTCTCTCTCTGTCTCTGTCTCTCTCTTTTTCTCCTTCTGTTTTTTTCTTGAACTTGGCCACTGGCTAAAGCATCTGACCATGTTCATTTAGGATGACAAGCTCCACACATCCTTCCTGTCTGAGACGTTCTGACTAGATTAGAAATAACAAAAACACATCCTAGAAAGAGGAAACCAGCCACGTGGGCCTGCTGGGATTTCTGCAGCCCCTTTGTCCAAACAACGTCCCCAAGCCCAATGGCTGAAATCAGAAAGGAAAAAGCCTTTTACTCCAAACCGGCTTCCCCACCTACTCTCTCTCACTTGCACCTGAGTGCAACTGCTCTCATCAAGGTCACCAATGATCCTTCTGTTGTCAAATCCAGAGGACACGTCTCTGTGTTCATATTAACGCATCATCTCACCACATTTCACACAGCTGGCTACTCCCAGAAACAAACTGGCCTCTTGGATTCCAGGACATGCCATGCTCCTGCTCTTTATCGTCCTCCTGGAAGGTCCTTCTCAATGTACTTTATGGGCTCCTCTTCTTTTACCTGACCTCTAAATGCTGGCATTCCTCAGGGCTGGGTCTTATTTTCTTTCTTCATTTTCTTTCTTCATAGTCTCTCCTAAGCATTCTCATCGAGTCATGTAGCTTTTATACAACAACACTCCTAAATGTTTCTGCTGAGCTCTATGCGACAGCTCTATGTTGGTAGATCAGTCTGCCTACTTGATAGCTCTGCTCAGACAGTTCATTGGCATCTTCAATTTAACAAGTCCAAAATGGAAATCATTTCTCCCCCAGCCTATTCTGCACTCTTTCCTTATTTCTCCACCTTGGTGAATGGCACAACCATCACATGGAATCATCCTTGATTCCTTTCTCTCTCTCACCTCACAAATACAATCCACCTGCAAGTCTTATCAGTCTTCTCTTCAAATAGACAGGGACTCTGCCAACTTAGGCTCATCTTCACTTTCACTCCCCAAGGTCAGGATATAGGCCAGTACCTGGAAGGATGCAGCCAGTGTGGGCTGCCTAAGATAATCACACTTACAAGAAAGCCACAGTGTGGGTGTCTTTCATAAACCCTTGGTGATACAGTTAAAGACAGAAAATTCAAAAATGCATTTCAGTGTTGTTCAGACAACAGCAGTGAAGTGTAGTATATTGTGAGCCACACACCCTCCCCTGAGCTTGGAGCCCGGGACAACTAACCAGGTTACCACACCACAGCGATGGGCCTGTCAAACCATTGGTTCTCACATGGGTTCTAGAACAACCCACTCTTCTCTTCACTTCTACTCTTGCCTTCCTCTACTGATTCTCCACACAGCATCTGCAACAATCTCTTTGAGACATAAATTAGATCATGCCATTCCCTTGCTCAAAATTGTCAGTGGATTCTCACTGCTCTTAGATTAAAATCCAAAGTTATTAACACGACCCACAGAGGCCTGCGTGATCTGGCCCCTGCCAGCCTCCCAGCTTCATTTCCCTTCATCCCCTATTCTCCACCCACACTGGTCTTCCTTCAGTTCCTCAAAGGCACCAAGTTCACTCTCTATTCTGGGGTGT